TCTGTGCAGCGCAGGGGTGCAGTGAAGAGGTGTCACAGGGCAGGCTTGTCACAGGCTAAGGAAAGAGATGGAGTCAGGTGAACTAGGGAAAACATGCACCTCCAGTGAACTGCAAACAACTCAGCATGGTGTGCCGCAGGCTGCAGAAAGGAGATGTGGCTAGGCAGACGCCTGTATCTTAACCACTCTGACGGCCATGCAGCACCACTGAGGACATTCAGTGGGAGCAGAAACATCAGGCTTCGCTTTCCTGAGGTGGGTGGACCACAGGGAGGTAGAACAGAGGTGGTGAGTCTGCTCCCAGAACTCACACAAATGATGATGTGGGCCTGGACCGAGGCTGTTAGGATGAGAGGGAGGGAATGACTGACTTAATGTAAGAAGATCCCCAGGAAGGGCCACGAGGGATACAGAAATGCCTAGAGCACAGAGGGAGGCGTAGTCCCTGATCTAGATCGGGAGCCAACAGCCCGATGCGGAGTGGGGCTGTGGCTTGGGGTGGCCCTCTGTGCGATGGGGGAGCAGCTCAGGAGGTGGATGAGCAGAGTCTGGAAATGGCCTGTCCAGGCAGTGGATAGGGAAGAAGAGTCTCATACAGACTGGCACCAACCTCCACCTGAGGGCCAGATCTAAAGTCACCCCCTAGTTGGCTGCTCCCCTGTGCTGTCTCCTAGCCTGGCTGCCTTTCACATGGCCACGTGATGTGATTCTCAAGGTGAGCACCCTACCTTTGTTACCAAGTGTGTCACTTTCCACAGCTTCAGTGTCAAACCCTGCACGGGCTGCCTGATTAGCAACACCCCTCACCAGTCAGCTGCCTCACCACTTGCCACTTCTCAGGGTGCTGAACCCCCACACTTCCCTCACACAGCTCCAGGAAGTTTTCCTGTCCAGGGTCACACTGTCCCCTCCGCACGGATGCTTGCTGCTTCCCTTCCTGGGACTGGAGCCTTGTCCTCCACATCCACCCAGATCCCTCCCTGCTTCAGTCACCAAGTCCCAGGGCAGATCGGCCAGCAGCAGTGGCGCTGTCCTCCCTGGCTCAGTGGTGGGGCCCCAGTGCTATTCCAGGTGCCTCTGCCCGCGCTCCCCAAGCCCACCACAAACTCATTAAGGGAAAGGAAGTATCCTGCACTTCTTTTGTGCTGCAGAGGACCTTTCAGTCTTGGTGAGGGCTTCTCAAGCAGGCTGCTGCACCCCCAGGCCAAGTGAGGAGCATAGGCATGGGCAGCGGGCAGCAGCGGGATGAGAGGGACGATGCCGCAGGCAAAGGCCTCTTTGGGGACACGATGAACTAAGGCTTGGTTACCCCCAAAAGCTTGCAATTGATGGCTGCAGGCAAGTCAGTCTAAGCATAAGCTAGCTACTGAGTGACTTTCTCACCAAATTAAGAGCTATGAAAAATATCTGAAAAGCAACAGGTTTTACACAAACAAGAGGTTTATTTTAAAATATGAGGACACAACTTGAGGTTGCTATAATAAAAAGATTCAGAAGCACTAAAACAAACAAAAGATACACACGGGCTGGGCATCGTGGTGCACACCTGCAATCATAGCCATTGGGAGTCTGAGGCCACCCTGGACCACACAGTGAGTTCTGGGCCAGCCTGCACCACAAAGTGAGACTCGGTTTCAAAGGCAAAAATAGATATGAAGCTTTCAAAGAGTGGAAGCCATAGTTCTAGTCTGGGTTAGAAAGTTGATTAAACCTGAAGCCTGGCACTGAGTTTCCTGCCTGACAAGGTGAAAAGAGAGGTGGGGCAATATGGAGCTGCAAGGCAGAGGCCCTGGAGTCTCAGCACAGACCCTTGGCCAGCAGTACCGTATCCCCTGGCAAGCAAGTACGCTTCTGAGCACTGAAGTAGTGAGGGGAAACCTACACTCTCAAGGCAAGCCATGAGATAACATCCGTAGGGCACTTAACACGCGGCTGGCGCACACGTGGTGCTCTCCTGCTCAGAGGTGGCCGAGGCAGTTCTGCTCCCTGAGGACAGAACCTGTGGCTGTGGCAACCTCAGTGGCTAGCCCGACACTATCCTAGGCCTGATGTACTATGCTAAGCAGTAAACTGCTGACAGAAGAGAACAAACCTTCCCCATGGAACTGGTGCCACAGTTCTCAGGGATGCACAGAACACAGCTGGCTGCCTCAGTGGTGGCTCGCAGAGGCACTCTGTGTGGCCTACGGAGCAGTCCCTACATGGTGATGTGCGATGTGATTAAACACAGCTTCATGAGGGCACGCAGCAGGGGGCTGAGCTAGTGAGGGTTAGGTAAAGTAAGGTCCAGGCAGATAATGAGGTTTAAGCATATACGTGAGATGGCACAGGAAGCATACAGTAAACAGTACACTGTGTGCTGTCCAGCAGACCCTGCAACACAAAGGTCCCTGAAGGAGCTGCGGGCCTGGTACCCAACTCTGGGCTTCAGACCTGAGAGGGGAGACCAAGCTAGGCGTGCAGGGGCCTCACAGTGCAGGTGATGCCTCCAAGGCTGACAGGAACGTCAGTGTTTCATGCACTGTGGCTTGGGCAGGCACCAGGCGATCCTGGGGCAGTCAGGAAAGACACAGGGTTGTGTTTGCAGCCAGCCACCAGGGGAATTACAAGGGGGCCCTGGGAGGCCATGCGCAGGATTATGCTTCTGCTGCAGAGAATTACTTTCCTGTTGAAAGCTGCTACAGTGCCAGGTGTGCCTGCTGTCTATAGCAGGGACCCACCAAGGCAGTGGGTTGGCTGGACCCAGCGGAAACTCACTGTCCAATGGAAATGGTAAGTGGATCATCATGGACAGGGCCAGAGGGCACAGGTCAGCTGCTGGTGTGCCAAACACCGCATCACCCTCCTCTGCTGCAGCAAAACCTCTTCCGCAGCTCATGCCACTGCCATGCGTTGGTGGGTTCCTGACGACCAAGTGACAGAACCCAAGAGTCAAATGTGATGGACGGATCAGTAGAGAGTAATCCTGGCTACATTATGGCTCCTTTCAGGGGGAACCTGGGGAAGACAGTGATGGAGAAAAATTCTCCCAGGGGTGCATCTGGGTGCTGTATTTGGGCATCTGCCTTGTACATAAGAAGTAATAAGACGCAGCACCTGGACTCACTGGTGTGGTCAACAACTTGGCTGGCTGGTCAGGGTCTGGGAAAGAGGGGACAAGGAAACCCAGGAAGAGGTGAGGGCAGTGGACACAGCTAAAGGAACAGAAGCAGTATGGTGATTTTGTTTTACAGACCATGGACAAATGTCACAAGAAAGACACTCAACAGGAGGCAGGTAGAGTGACTCAACAGAGCCACACTATCACTGGTCCCCCAGGGTGGGCACACGACACAGTAGCCATGAGGGTGGGGAAGAAGGCTATGTGTGGGCCTCACTCCCACAGGCAGACGTAGCTGCTGTCATTGTGAAGTGTCCAACCTGCCCCCAGCAGAGCCCAATCTGGCCCCCATTCTTGAGCAGGACACAGAGCCGCTTCTTGCCAAGCAGGCTACTGGCCCCTTCCACTCTGGCAGACTGAATCGTGATCCCCCCATTCCTGCGGTAGAGTACTACCCAACAACATGGCTGCATTCCAAACAAAGATTTTTAAGAGGCAATTAAGATTACATAGGGTCACAAGGTGGGCCCTAACCCCACAAGACTGGGGGCTTCAGAAGGGCAGTGTTGGAGCTCAGAACACAGTAATGCAAAATCTGGTGCCTTGTACTGAGGGACTCTGAACTGAAGGATGCAGGAGGGCCTCGGGAGCACGGACTCTGATGGTCCACTGCCTGGACTCTTGTCCCTCCTCCTCTGAATTGCTCTTTCCCAAGACAGGTCACTAAATAGAACTCTTTTCCCACAAAACAAGCCATGAAGCCTACAGAGGTCCCCTTCTCCCTGTTACCACAGGCCATACTCTCTCTTTTCATTCTTCCCATTTCCCTGCAGGATTTACCTCCCTGGGAAAACACAGGGCTTCTGCTAACCTGTCTTCATCTGGCACAGAGTTCTCTCACAAAACTCACCGAGCCCCTCACCTCTGCAGAGCTTTGATCATTTACCCCTCCAGCTCAAACTCCATCGAGTGATGCGCACCCTCGATCCCTAGATACTGCATGGCTCTCTTTATGGTATGCCCCAGAGTCACTGCAAATTCAAATACAACTCTTGCTTCTCTGTCTGGTGTGTCTGTCTGTCTCTCTCCAGCCTCTTTTTAGACATAAACTCTGGGACCCACATCCTTCAAGGGATTTCAAAGATGTCAGATCTCACTTTCTATTTCCCAGCTGTCACCTGTACACTTACCTCCTGCACTCCAGACTGGCAAGATGCAGGCAGATAGCAGGGCAGAATCACGTCTCCCAGCACCCCAAAAAGTAAAGAAGATAAAAGCAAGGTATGAAGAGCCTGGTGTGCTGTTTGTGGAGGTGTCCAAGGAAGATCAGGCCTGAGGTTTTGGCCTAGGCATAGTAACCCTTCTGCCCTGCCTCCCTTGAAAGATAAGGGCCATATCACATCATTTTTGCACAGTGTGGTATCAGCAGATAAATATGCAATACTTGGTTACAAGTTAAGAAAATGTGGCATTTATCTGATTCATTTGTTGGTTGTTCTCTTAAAATGTCTTACCTTCATATGCTCTTCATTTCAAACAAGGAAAATCATGATGCTTCACACTTTATATGCATTTTAACAGGAAGACACTGTGGCTTTTACAAGATTATAAACACAGATAAATATCCTATCTTGTTAACTGGGTTGGTGTTTCTCTAAGAAATAATGCTTATCTAATATAAGTGGAACAAGAATGTCCAGTCTGACCAATAGTTCAGCTGCAGTTTATGTTTTTGCCCTTTAAAAACAACCAAAAACGGCCACCACCAGAGACCTACATTCTATCTGGAGGGATGTCAAATCCACATCACAAAGCACAGGAATCACACGCAGTCCCTACCACACTTGCACCGCAGGAGGAAAGCTGCCGAGGCCCACAGACTTCAGCCACCCGCCGCTACCTGCTGCTGTCTCTGGCGCCGCGCCTGTGCAAACTGCGAGAGCATCAGCTGCCGGTCAAGCTGCTCCATTCTCTGCTGCCTCTGGATGTCCACGGTGGCTCCCATCCCGACTCTGGCCTCGCTGCTGGGCTCTGAGGAAGAGAAGATGGGCTCCAGTGTCCAGGAGAAGAACTGGGCCATCCAGCTGGGGATGCAGAGCACCTGGTGAACTTGGAACATTTTGCTGTCATAGCACAGACCGGAAATCTAAAAGAAAAAGGTACGAGTGGACTGCTGATATGTAACACAGACTGAAAGAGCACACTCAACATAGCAACCAGTAACTGCAAAACATCCCTGGTGGTATTTCTCTTAGTTTTAGCAATTTCAGGTGAGAAGCAAAAACTCTGACCAAGTTACAGAATACTATGCAGTAACAAACAACAAAAATTTAATTTATACGGTGAAACAAAATTGATTTTATTCAATAAGGAGATGACAAAAATCCTAGACATGGGCCGGGGAGATGGCTCAGTGGAATAAGCGCTTCCCTGGCAAGCGCAAGGGCCTGAGTTTAAGCCCCGGTTCCACCAAAAAACAAAACAAAACAAAAAACAACCCAAAAAAACCCCTAGACATTTAACAAAGTACAGGTAAAATAAGTTTTAAAAATAATCTTAAAAAAAAAGCCATGAAGGATCAGAGTAGCCATATGATTCGCCACTGTGGTAGCCGCAGTTGCCCCGGGCAGAGGCCGTCAGGGACGACACAGCAGCAGCAGACTGCTCCAGCGCGGGCTCGTCTCAACCCTCCACACGGTACATTCATTAGAAAACAAAGAAGCCTAAGACCTTGGCTTTTCTTCACCTAGTGTTTTAATCAGTTTTTCAAGTGCTGTACTGAGCTTTCTAGATGTTTAATTCCTCATCAGTATTAGCAGGTGATAATTCTTTTTACAAATACATTTTCATTTTTAAGGAAATTTATACGGAAAGAAGAATCTCAAGCCACCCTGTGGTTTTTTAGCTAAAAATAACTATGGCTGTGCCTTTGTAAAAGAATCTTTAATTTCATCCTTAGGATAAGAAGTTATTTATACCAAATAAAAGCACTTAACAACTTTCTGCCTAATCTGAGAAAAGCACATTTTAATGTTTTATTAATATAATTTAAATTAATCAGACAAGGATTTATTGAGCCCCTGTACTGCAAATCCTGCAGGGAAAAGATAAACAAAGCCCCCAACTCCCACAGAAGTTAGCAGTGGTCAATCACTTTTCAACTGAGAAACGACAGTTAACAAGTGAACATACAGAACCATCTCAGACAAGATCTATAAAGGAACTTGGAACAGGAACCCACTTTAGGTGGGGTGGCGAGGAAAGCCCTCAGAGGAAGCGATACTTGAGTAAAGATCTTAAGGATAATGGGGTAGCAGGGGACTGAAGAACTAAAAAGACTGGGGGTGAGGAAACAGTCAATACTTTGCAGAAGTCGGCTTGGAGGATCTATCAGGCATTTTATGGAGCTAACGGACATGCAGCTGGCTATGCAAATCTGGAACTGAGGGGACAGTTAGGCAGAGGTAAGGACTGGGAGTCTCTGGACACCACGGGATCGGATAAGATAACATGGGGGGGGGAGGGCATAGCACAGGAGAGGCGACAAGAGAATGAGATCAGCTGCATGCCAACTGATACTGTGGGGCTGATAGAGAAGATGCCAGTAGAGAACTATGAGAAGAGGCTGCCAGGGGAGGGGAGGGACAAGAGCGAAAACAGGAGGGGTTAGCAGCAATGAAGCCGAGCAAACGCTGTTTACAGAGAGCAGCGTCAGTTCTGTCCAACACAGGCTGCAGCCGGGCAAGGAGAGCTGACCACAGCACGCAGGGCTCTGGTAACTTTATCAGAAGGGCTGGGGCAGCTAGCTGTAGGCATGAAAGACAGACGGTACTAGGTGGAAGAGTGGAGAATGGAGGGCTTTTGGCTGCAAATAATTTCTGTGTTGCTCCTCTGTAAAACAACGAGAATGAAAACAGAAATTAACTCATAGGAAGAGAGATGTATGGGGGAGAGTGGGGTTGCAATGGCTGAGGGTTTCCAGACTTAATAAGGAATATAAACCCTCAGACTGAAAACACTGGTCTCCAGAAGGATATTAAAATGAAATTTACTTCGAGATATATTGGGATGAGACAAAAAAGGAATCCTTACAAGCAACTAGAGATAATATGCAGACTCCCTGGAAAGGGAAGACAACCCAAAAATATTAGCAGATAATAGCAACAAAAAGGATATTAGAATTAAACAAACAATTACAGAAGCTTTGATAGAGAAAAACTTACAAAAATATGAAAAAGAATACTAAAAAAAAAAAAAAAAAAACCTCTAGTAATAAGTACACATACTGCTATCCATGAGTGGGAAGATGCAAAGTTGCTAAGATACCAATTTTCACCAGGAAGTTAGCTCAGCAGCTTAAGTGTCCGCCTGGCAAGTGCAAGGTCCTGAGTTCAATCTCCCATACAAAAAAAAAAAAAAAAAAAA